GACCTGGTCAGCTGGCCGCCCAGGGCACAGGCACCTCTGCACCCCTGCCCACGGGGCTGCCTGGGTCACGCCTCACCTCTTTGCTCATGGCCAAGTTGCACATGCACTCTGTGGCCGCCCGGCGGATCAGCTCGTGGTCCTCAAACATGTAGCCCTCAATCATGGGCACCGCCTTCTCCTTCAGGATCTTCTGCCTGCGGAGCCAAGGTGGGCGGATTGGCATCCCCGTACAATCCGGCCCTGGGCCAAGGGCTTTCCGGGCAATGTCCAAGGGCCCTCCTGCACCAGGTGTGAACTGCAGTGGTTCCAACCTTCTAGCCAGGCCTGGGCGCTGACGTGGGGCCAGGGGAAAGGCCCTGAACTAGGAGTTCGCAGAGGGTGGTGGCGATGGTGATGCTGACACTGCGTTGAGCCCTGACCCTGACCTGGCACTCAGGCTGTCTGACCTCCTCCTCCCACGGCCCCTGCTGGAGGTGCAGGTGTGACTGGCGTGACTACTTAGCAGAAGAGAAAACCAAGGCTGCGGAGTGAGCCATGCAGTCAAGGTCACAATGAGTAATAACAGCAAATACATATCAATAGGGCACATCACTGGGAGCCAGGCACCTTCGTATTAAGAGCTTTTACATGTATTTTCTCATTTAATTCTTTTCACCAGGATTCGACGAGGCGGGTACTATAACCATCCCATTTCACAGAGGGGGAAACTGAAGCATGGAGTGATTAAGTATTCGTTTGAGGTTACACACCAGTAACCAGAGAAACCAGGACTCGAACCCAGGCTGCCTGACTCTGGAGCCTGCAGTTATGGCCAAGAGCCTTATCTTTTCTTTTCATAATCCTCACCCAAAGAGACCTTTCCATTGTTTTTTTTTTTAAGGAAGAGTGGAAAGGGGAGGGAAAGACACAGAGAGAGAAACATCGATGTAAGAGATACACATCAATTGGGTGCCTCCCACACATGCCCTGACTGGGGCCAGGGGACAAGCCTGCAATTGAAGTATGTGCCCTTGATCGGAATCGAACCCGGGACCCTCCGGTCTGCAGGCTGACACTCCACCCACTGAGCCACACCGGCCAGGGCATGGCTGAGAACCCTGCCCTCGCGGAACTATCCCCTCCGCTGTATGGCAGAGGCTCTCAAACACAGCAAGGACCAAACTGTGAAGTGCTTCCCTGGGGGTAACCTAAGCCCCGAAACCCCGCCCAGGCCCGCATCCCGAGGGCCTTACCGGAGCCTCTCACTGATCCCCGCCAGGTTCGTGAGAGCCATGAGCGCCTCGAAGTTCTGCAGGCCTGAGCAGTTGAGGTGCAGCAGGGACACGAGGGGCCGGACCACCTCATAGACCTGCGATGTGCCCCCCACATGTCAGGACTACACGGCCCAGCCCCCACCAGCCCGCTGACCCTGCAATTGGCGGTAACCCCAGCAGCAGGCTGCCCTCCCCATCCCGGCTCGGCAAAGCTGCCACTTCCTGTGGGTCCTAAGGAGGAGCCACAGCCGGGTCAGAGGCCATCAGGGCCCAGCGAGGGGTGGAGGGGGGGCCAGGGCTGGGCGGGAGGACACGCACCCGCTCTCCGGGAAAGGTCATCTCTGGGTTGGAGGTGATGGTGAGCTTGGCGAGAGCCTGGGCGGCCTTTGTCTGCCCCACGTCCGTGCCTTCCAGGGCCAGCGGGAGCAGAGCCTATAGGGACAAGCCCTCAGGGATCATGACGTGCCTGGAGCGTGAGGCCCACGCTGTCAGGCCCCGATGCCCTGACTGTGCGCCCTCACTATCCCCTCTCCGCCCCCCACAAGGCTTGCAGATCACGGGGCTCAGACCCTCGTCACCTCTCTGAGGTCTCCCATTAGGCCACCCAAACAATTACGGAAACACCATTCAAGAGCTAGACATGGGCTGTGCTGGGCAGGGGGCTAAGGCGTCAATGACACAGGGAAAGGCCGACTCAGCACCCTAACAGGAGCCCAGCGCCTTCAGCATCACCCCCCCAGCAGGAGGACGTTCCTCCCGCCATTTATAATGCTTTTTTTTTTAATTTCAGAGAGGAAGAGGGAGCGATAGAAACATCGATGATGAGAGAATCATTGATCGGCTGCCTCCTGCACGCCCCCTACTGGGGACTGAGCCTACAACTCAGGCATGTGCCCTTGATCGGAATCGAACCTGGGACCCTTCAGTCCGCAGGCTGACGCTCTATCCACTGAGCCAAGCTGGCCAGGGCCATATATGCTGCTTTTTGCTCCACATCTAACACCAGCTGCTGGTACAGCAGCCACTGAGCCAGGTTTTACAGCACAGACCCAGGGGGGAGGGGGACGCTCACCTTGCCCCCTCCCTGAGCGACCACCGTGCCGCGGTCCTCCGCCTCTTCCACCAAAGCCAGGAAGACCCTGCGGGGAGAAGGCGCGGTGGTGGGCGGCCGGGCCCGGCGGGCAGACATCCCACCCGAGGGCACGGCACCAGGCCCCGCTCCCTCGGATGGCGCAGGCTCACCTGGACAGCAGCTCCCGGCAGGAACTGGTCAGTACGGGGCTCTCGGTCTTCACCATGCACGTCATGGCCGACACCACGCCCGCCGCCAGCAGCTTCTTCACCCGGGCCCGCACGAAACTCGGCTTGTCCTGGGGAAGGAGGCGGCTGAGCACAGGGGCTCCGGTCACTGGACAGGGAGAGGGGACCCTCCTCACAGCAGATGGATGGCCATGAAAACCAAGGGGAAGAAGCCCCTTCAATGGAAGGCGTGGGTGCCCCGGTTCACATGGTCCCCGTGGAGCTCCTTCCCCCAAGCTCCTTCCCGGAGGCCCTCACCTTGGGGTGCTGCTCGGGCACGTGCTGCTTGGCGTACTTGGCCAGCTCCACCATCTTGGGGTCGGGCTCCTCGTAGTCGTAGCTGTTGGTGCAGTTCACCAGCGCCGAGGCCACCGCAAAGAGCACCGACCGCTCCTCGGACTGCCGGGGGCAGGGGGCAGGCAGCTGACACCAATGCTGCCCGCGCCCCGGACCCCAGCTCTACCCTTGGCTGGACGGCTTGGGCACCAGGACGAATCTGGGAACCTGCCCAAGCCCCAGCCCGGCTCCAGATTTGGGGAACTCACACATGTGAGCCCCAACTCCTCTGGAGAGTTCATCGTTTCCAACACTGTGAGGCGGCGAGTATGCCCACGTGACACAGTGGGACCCCTCCGGACGCCACACAGTGGGACCACTCCAGCTGCCAGCCCTCCCTCCCTGGGGCCATGAGCCCCACTGGCCATGGTCACCGAGGAAGCCAGTTGGGCTCTAACCCTAGACAGAGTCCCGGGGCAACTGCAGAGCCAGGAGCTACCTGGCTGAGCTGGAACAGAGCCTTCAGGGCCGCCTCGTCCTCCACGAACTCCTCCTTCACGTCAGCATCAAAGGTGAGGTAGGCCAGGCCCTCCACTGCCCAGCGCCGAGTGCCCGCGTCAATCTGGTCATTGCACAGCCACCTGGGGACAGGCAGGGCAGGGACAACCGTCAGACGGAGTGGTGTGAAGGGGCCCACCAGGATCGGACAGGGGGTGGGGAGGGAGGGAACGCCAGGGGCTTGGGCTTCCATTCAAAACAGGAAGCAGCTCACAGGGCAGGACCAGGAGGGTCGCCTGGGGGAGAGCAGGGCAGTGAGGAGACCCCGCCTCCCAGAGCCCCTCCTGAGGGCAAGCCGCGAGGTGGGGCCGCAGCAACGCCGGGTGACTCACTTCCGACACTGCTTGGCCAGTTTGAGGGTGGAGCCCTCGGCAAACTGCTTCATGCTGAAGTCAGTCCCTCCGGCCGAGCCCAGCTTACAGAGTCCCTGGAGGGAGAGGCAAGAACCAGCTGGCCGCTGAGCTGTTCTGGGCCCCACCCCAGGGAGTTAGCTGTTTTCCACATCACACCAAAGAAAGGGAAAAAAGCTTCTGACAGGCGGAGCTAAGATGTGGGGGAAGACAGGTGCCTCAGCTGAGGTCAAGATCCTTTCGGGGAGAAGAGACCAAGTGCCCTGGGCTTCCCCCCGTGCAGGGTTACAGGCTCCTGGAGGCCGGACGGCTCCAGCCACCAGCTCCCAGGACCGCCTGCAGGCCCAGCCTTCCCGCACAGCCCTTCTGACCAGCCTGGCCCAGCGTGTCCTCCAAACTCATCACCTCCTGGAGCCCCGCCCACCGCTCCACGGAGCCCCGCCCACCGCTCCACGGAGCCCCGCCCACCGCTCCACGGGGCAGCCTGTC